AACAGGCGCTCGCTTTCAACGCTTGTGCATGGGGCAGAGAGATAGGTTCGGGCAAGTAGAGCAAGATGAGGGAAACGATTTTCATTGATCTTCCAGTAGACCAATGGGTCCTGGCTCCTTTCGACAGGAACCTCAGATAGGTAGTTCTGTACCTGCATAGCTGAAGGGCTGGCCAGCTGTTGCTCCTGTTCAATGTTCTCCTTCAAGATTTCGTCGTGAGCTGCAAACAGTAGACTACGCCTTTTGGCTGCAGGTTCATCGATATCAGGAGGTCCCACTTCAGAGGATGTTCCTGCAGCAGGTGTGCATCTGGTCTCCCCCTCTGCAAGTTTGGTCAAAAGGAGCAGTTTCACGTCATCTTTCACCTCTGCTGAGAAGTAGCGATTCTTGTACCTTGTTTTGCATAAACAAAGAAAGATGGGTCAATCATTGTGTTTTGTATACATTAACAGTTTTTATGACTTGCATGTAAATAAAGAAATGCATTTCAATCAAGAAATTTTTAATTTAATTTAAATGTTTGTTGAAATATAGTAGTAGGCTAAAAGTAATTATGGCTAAAATAGAATGTTAATAGTTACTTGCCTTGGATCCAGAACAGTGGCCAAGCTGTACAGGGGCTCATGCTCAATGTTGCTGAATCTTCTCACAACAGCCTCCAGCAACGTAGCTTTGGCTGTACCCACGCCACGGTCTGTGCTCGCTTGCCTCTCTTCTCTCTTCTTTACAGTTTAAGAGTACTTGATGACGTTCGAACTGTTCGTAAATCCACTGTGCAGTAAAACTTAACATGGACATTAAACTTACATCAGAAGTCCAGATGTCTGTTGTAAAGCTGAGTGTATTTGTATTAGCTTTTAGCAGGCTGCGGGTGTCTCTCGAAACTTGGCTGAACAACTCCGGTAATGCAACATCAGAAAAATATTTCCGACTCGGCATATTATATCGTGGGCACACGTGCTGCATCAAGCTTCTAAAACCTTTGTCCTCAACGACTGAAAATGGCTGGTCGTCTAATGCCATGAACTCCATCACTTTCCTCGTGGTAGCTTTGCTCTTTTCGTTGCTCATAAAAGCTAACAGCGACCCACCGACTGCCTCTTTGTTAGCGCTAGCTTTAGCATTAGCCTTAGCATGGTTGCTCGCTTCAAACATTGCATACTTGGCGGCGTGGTGATTTCTTAAATGGCGAACGAGGTTTGTTGTATTAAAGGTTTTGGTGGTGGCTCCACCACTACTTACTTCGGCTTTACACGAATTGCAAATTGCGATCTTTGGCTCATTTTCTTTTACAGCGTAGAACTTCCAAAACGACGACATGGCTGCTCCGAGTGACCTGTGTGTGAGCTCTCACAGTGGAGCAAAAGGGGACAGCAGCTGATTTTCAGAACTTTCCGGAGGCAGCTACGATCGGTGGATAAAATCGGCTTCTCATTTAAAGATCGGCCGATCGCCGATCTCCCCAAATTAAGGAAATCGGGGCCGATCGATCGGCCGGCCGATTTATCGGTGCACCCCTAATCACTACACTTTGATGGTCTTTTCAAGGCTCCTGCCCCCTCCCTTTTTTTATTTAAGATACTGATACTCTGTGATTTCACAGGAAATACAGCAATCCAACACTCAAACGTGAATTTGTCATATTCATCAATGAATTTCCAAGCTTAATAGAGCCTAAAGCACTGACCAGACAGCTGTACCAGCTCAGTGACAAAGTGAAAGTCCCTAATTGTTTTTAATTTAATCTGCTGCTTCACTATTTTGGGTGCTAGTGCATATTAATGCGCTGTCTTATGCTGTAAGGATGGGTAATTAGGTTGAGAGTGAATGATTCTCTAACTGCTCTTCTGTTTCCCCACCTTCTGTTTCCCCATGTTTCAAATTATATCCAAAAGGAACAATGTTTAATCTTTTCCCCTAACGTGAAGGTCACTGCCAGGATGCAGTGGATGTTTATTAAATCTGGAATTGTAGTTTTTTTAGGCAAGTCAAATTTAAAGATCTTGATGAATAAACTTAACGTAAATGCGTACGTTAACCTCTTTGTAATGCTTAAAAACTCTTCCAATTATTGGTGACATGTTGTCCTCAAGGCTTCTCAGTTTTTGTACTTGCTTCAAGACTTATTCTAAAGAAATGATTCAGTTCTGACAATTATTTTAAACAATTATAATGACTTAATCTGTCGTAGGGAGCACCGTATTTGATTTGTTATTTACATTAACAATGAGTAAATGATGTCCATGAGAGCAAAAAGTGGAAATAAATTATTTTAAATCTTGAGGGAACTTTCTGTTGGACTGTAACTTGGAAACATAGTCCTTTTTAAAATAGTGTCAAAAACAGTATAAAATACAGAGACCTATTATCATTAGCTTTTTCAGTTGATCTGATTTGATTTACTTTATACCATACCATGATTTAAAGGTCTCTAATCAGGATTATCACTTTATTTTTTTGGGGGGGTGGGGGTCACTGTAATGCCACTTTGATTAGTGATATGTGCTGCTGATTATCCATGCTACTGATTATCCATGCTGCTGATCGCATGCTGCTGATCGCATGCTGCTGATCGCATGCTGCTGATCGCATGCTGCTGATTTATTTCATGCTGCTGTATTCGTTCGTCCTCATCTGCTCACACAGACTCATGTTCGTGCTGCTGTTCGGTGTATTGTTTTGCACTAAGTCTTTAGCGTATTCTTAGTTTAATGTATTTCGTATTTCATATCTTAGATCTTTATTACGGTTTCTTCTACAATTTATACTTTTGCTATTGTTGGATGTAACTGGGACCCTGTGTACACACTTTTGTTCCATTTCATGTACTTTGTACCACATGTGGTGAGAATGGCAAAACAAAACCTTGAATCCTTGACTTTTAATGTATATTTGTGTTTGAGTCTTTTTAAAATCTATGTTTAGGTTAATACGTTTGGGAAATCTTATGAGTGTATACATTTGCACATATGTAGACATGCATATTTACGTAGTAGTAAAAATACAATTACACATGAACCCAAGTTTAAATAAAGACAGTGTTGTAAAATTACCGTTGCCATTGTAGTAACTGAGTCTTGATGTACTTTATGATGTGGATTTTTATTTTTTTTCTTGCAGGGGGTAGTTTTCATTAGTTTTCATCCAAACAACAGTTTTCTGTTATTTGAAATAATAATATTAATAGTATGTACGAGTCTGTGATTAATCACTGCTCAGTCTTTGGTTTTTTGAACCTCCGTGGTGTTTTGTTCTCGTTTCCAGCTTTAATGTCAGCAAAATCTGATTGACGTAAAAAGGGAAAACAAAAGTCCCCAAAGTTTTTGGTGTTTTTGGAACGGATATGTTTTCATGGATATTAAGAACAGTTAATGTCCCTTTTTAAAGTTAACAAGGTATAGATTTAGCAATTAAGCAGTAATCATGCTCATTAAAAAGAGTAATCCATTTAAAACGTAACAGATGTTCGTTCTGACAGGGGGATCGTGACGGCCCCATGCCAACAATAAGGCAGTAATGTTGTTGAAATGCTCAGGTGCAAGGTTATAGAGTGGAAGAATTTATTTTTTTCTTCATTTTGTGGCCACATGTTGACAGTTGACTATTTAATAACCTGCTAAATTGCAATGACCTCTTGATCCCCAAGCTTCATTTTAAATTAATGCTGAGCTTGCAGGATGTTTTCCCCTCTTAGTTTAATATTTTTGTTAGCATCTTTAACTGTAACTGTGTGAAATGAACCAGAGAGAGAATATTTAAATAGTCTAAAGATTCTATTTATAGTATCAAAACTAAATCCTTTGTCATCATAAACTGAGTAATCACTTTAGTGGTAAAGCTAATTTTATTATAAATTATTGCAGTCAAACTATGGAAACTATTGGTTGAGATGACGTAAACATTTTATGATTGCAATGTTTACATGGGGGGGTGGGGGTCTATGACAGTTTGCATTGATGTAAAATACCTTCTCAGGTGTGTTTACATGCCATCCTCAGGTGACTTGTTAAAAACAAAAGTCCATTAGATTTAACAAAAGTGTATTGAGTTGCAACAATGCTTGAGACAATGGAGCAGTTTGCATGTGTGGAACATTATGTATAGTTTTTGTTTGATACAGGGAGGAGGTGCACACGAGCCAATTAAAATAATATCTTTCATGCATGTAAATACTTTCAACTCAAAAGATGCGGGTGGTGGAGGGTGGGATATTGACGGGACTTTTAATCCCTGTTGGAGCGGCTCGTTTTCCAGGTTCACCTTTCTGCCAGGTGTTTGAAACTGACTGGAGCTGGAGATGAATGTAGCTAATGGCAAGTTATGGAGCGGACTGACTCCTGGGAGCCACAACTTCATGCGTTAAAAGTTTTTATTTTCAAAGCCCATCAGTTGCAGTGGGACGACTCCTGACTGGCCCATATGCCAGCAGTGACAGTGAAGAAGGATTTTTATTTATATATATATATATATATATATATATATATATACACATGCACTTCTACTGCAGTCAAGCGAACAACTGCAAACTTTTATTATAGTTGTCCACTTGGCAAAGAGGCTGAACTCTGATTGAATCAACATGCTGTAAATTATTTTTATGAACTTAATATTGGCCATCTTTACATTGCTATGATTATTGGTGCAATTTCAAACAGCAGAAACTGTGTTTAATTGAAGAACACTTCTGCTTGTAGCGTGTTTATTGATGTGGCAGAAGAACAAAAAGGATGCTACGAATGACTGGCAGAAAGGAAAAAAGAAACGGGCTATAAATGTCTCATCTCCCATACCACACACAATCTCCCTCTTCTTTTTACCCCCACATCATCATGGCAGGAATCCTTTGTCAGAGGTGTTCATCTGGAACAACTTTGCCACACTTGTTTTCATGTTCTTTTAGATTACAGGGCAGCTGGTCCAGGCTTTGAAGCTCCCCTCTCCCTGTGTCTCTGTGCAATGCACTCTGGTAATTAACTTTGTCCTTCTTTTATTTGTTCCAGTCACTCGCAGTCCACTCTTCTGAGCATCTTCTCCCTGGAGTACCAGGTTAGAAGTTTTCTTCCTTTGTGAGCCCTGACAGGTGCCTAATTGAATGATGAATGTCCCTTTATTTCTTTGTAATTGAACTGCCAGCTTTCTGATTGGTTTGGAGGACCCCCCAACCATACCCCCATTTATCCCCCCCCCCTCCCAACACACACACAGACACCTCCATCTTCTCCTTCTTCACATTCACATTGAGGTCCTTTTCTTTCTTGAGCCTCAGTGGATGTCTGCCAAACCTTCCCATCCATCTGTCTAATAACATCTAGCCCCTGCTTATTTGGTGGACCTGTAATAAATTATGCTAAACCATTATTATTCTGACAATAATAATTTCCCCGTGTAGTGTGGCTGTGTGTGCTAAATGTTTGCTGACTCGCACTGTCACTGCTGCTTTCCACGGCTGACAGCGGATGATGATAAATGGCTGCTGCCGCCAGTGGCAGAAGGCAGCACAGGCAGAAAATGGAGTCATTTATCATCCCACTGACAGGTGTCAGTCACACTGCCCGTCTCTGTGGAATTACAATTTTTGTGTGTAGTAGCTTTTAAATAAGTTGTTTTTAACCAATGCTCTTCCTCTTTTATCTGCTGTCCTCCGGCCTCTCGGCAAGACTGGCAATTGAATTGCATGAAAATGTCAGGGTGTGGTGTGTGCAAATAATGTGAGTGGTTGATCGAAAAAAGGGGAAATGAATACAAGGTTTGAGTAAGGGAAGGAAAAGGGGGGAGATGGGTTTAAACAAGGTTGCCTTCGAACACTTTGACCCCAAGTAAACCTATTGAAATTGAATTACTTTGATTCTTAAAGCTCTTACTTGTAAACAAGAGCACTGAAGAGAATTTATGGCTGAACGAACAAAAATTCAGTGAACTGTGGACTGGACTAAAGGGAGTTTTTTTAAATATACTGTTTTAATTAGGGATGCACAATATTATCAGCATGGTATTGGTATTGGCCGATGTTAGCATTAAAGATAAATATTGGACATCGACCATTCCATCAAAATAACTCACAGATATAAAAGACGCTGTTTTTGTATGACAACCCAGTGACAAGGACGCTGCAGCGTGATGACGTCACACGCCTACCTGATCTGATCACGGCAAAGAAGAAGTCAAAATGTCGGCGGCGTGGAAGTTTTTTTGTTGTTGAGGATGTCAGATTCTGAAGATATTTGGATTACGTTGAGCCTCGCTACATCCTCCCCAGTCAGAGATATTTTTCTGACGTAGCCTTATCAGAGTTACAAGCCGTCATTTCCGACGTCATTGAGAAGCTAATAGCTGATAGCACTTGGTGAGTTTTACCACAGACATTTGGACGTCGTGTTAGCCCCGTTAGCATGATTAGTGTTACGGCACAATTGATAGACAAAAACTTTGATCTTAAAAAGTCTGTCCTTCATGCACAAGAGTGCAGAGGATCCCACACTGCAGCTATAGGAACCTGGAACAAGCCTCCACATGTGAGACAGCATCGCAGGTGACTAATGCTAATAAATAACATTTAACACTTTTTATTTAATATAAGTCAAAGTGCTCTGCAGATCATATGACTGTTACTGAATATAGGTCACCAGCTCTTACAGTTGTTACACAATTGTTGTAGCAAATAAGCCTAAATAAGATGCTATGCTCTGACAAAGGAAAGTATATTAAAAATATCTGTATCGGTTATCGGCCAAATAAGTTTTAACATATCGGCGTATTGGATATCCGCCAAAAATCCAATATTGTGCATCCCTAGTTTTAGTCATCCATATTTATATGTTTGGAAATATAATAATAAATATTGCTTTTTTTATTGTTTATTATGACAGAAACGAACCAAGAGGACCATCTCAAGACACCATGCTCCCGATGTTATTGAAAGATACTACCAAAGGTACTGTTTGACCTTATGATGTATTATTTATTGCTTCTTCCACTTCTGCATAGCCACTAAAATATTCTTTTAGTCTTGTATGCGTTCTTTGTCTTGTCTAAATTTTGATTTGGGAAGGGACTTGCCAAAGTTACGTGGTAGTAGGTGGGCCACCAAGACAGTTATATTCTCCTTCAAACAAACCACCACCCACAGGATTTGTTCCAGACCTCTCCTTGCACCTGCCACACCACAGATCTATTCAAATTAGGAGGACAAAAATAAACAAGTGTTTGCCTTATGCAAGCTTATGATGGGATAATTACATGTAATTCAATGAATAAGGTTGAGTTAAAACAGGGAAACAATAACAGAGTTGTAAGGGGAAAAACCTTTTTGCATATTGCAATTAGCCTTTATCTAGCGTATTAGGCCATTGTTCTGGGGGAAATAAGCCTGGATAATGCACTGCTAATCCACTTACAACAGCAAACCTCAGAGATGATCTCGGCAAGATCTAAGGGGAGTTGCAGTTTTAGCTGGAGAGGGAAAAAAGGCTTTTTGGGCGGCAGGGGTTAACTAACTATCATATGCTTGTCTGGTTTCAAGGAAATTTGAAGCCCTCCAAGCAGTGCTGTTTTAACCACACTGAGCCTGCCATATGCCACCCAGGGCAAAGTCATCAGGGACATTAGCATGTCTTGGCTGGCCTGGTCTAGCTCGCTCTACCCTTTTTGTCTGTCTGTAAGCTGTTTTATTTTTTTTTTCTTTAACTGCTGTTGTCCTTTGTTATATAAAAGGTATCTGAGCGAAACCAAGGCTCATCCCACAGCTCCTGTCCTGCTAGAGTTGGCTAATGAGGTAAAAGTGCAACCTTTAGTTCTTTTCTGTCTTTTAAAAATAATTTCAACTGAAAATGTTTTCAGAAAAGGATAAATATGACTGAGCTTCAGTTTTTAAAGTTGCCCCCTTGTCTGTTAGTTATTATCAAAATTGGTAAAACGATTCACTCTATTACCAATTATCTAATGTAATTAGCTCCAAGCACCATTAGGCAGATGTGAAAATACTTTGTTTTATGTTGTAATTTTCCAAATTGCAGTTCAAGCAGAGCTGCTACAAACTGCGGACAGGTGAGGATGGGGTCATTGGTTAAATCCCCTCTTCATCGCTTCTTTAGTTATTTGCTTTAAGATGTCAGACTAGTGTTTGTATTCTGGGTGAAATAGTAGCAATTGTATGTATTTATACAACTTAATTCCAGTTTTTTTTTGTTTTTGTAGCCAAAAACATGGAAATATGTTCCAGATATTTGTGCTTAAATGATAAAATACTTGCTGCTTTACTTATAAACATAGCTTTTATTTGTATTTTTAACATTCATTAATGAGCGTTATCAGTGGTCAACATGTTATTTTTACTTTTGCACATATAATGAATCAACTATTACTTGACTAGTATGGTGTGACAATTGTTACATTTTGAGCTAAAAGTAACTATATTAATGAATCTAAAGATTATTGCAATTTAAATGAATAATTACTATTTATTGTACTTAACTGTTTGTAAAGTTAAATACTGAAATCCTGGTAAAATACATTGTTTTTATTCAGTTTCCTCTTTTTTAATACTTTGAAAAGCCCTCACAAATGATTGAATCATTTAACAGCATCATTTCATCTTATTAATGCTTCCAACAGGAGGGTTTTAAAGTTTAGACTCAGAGCACTTCACATGCATCAGCAATACCCTCAAAGCTAACTGCTATTATTCATTCTCTATTTAATTGAAATATTATTTTTTTTTTCTTGAAAGCACAGAGATAACGATCTATGAACCATTTAACTGCCATTTTAATATGCTACTTAACATTTAAACCAAGCACTCATGCCCTCTCAGACTGCTAATTGATGTAGTTTTGTGTCTTTATGAGACAATATATCTCCAATAGATGAAAAAGATTAACAGTGATGAAAGCTCTTCATGGATGTATATATATATATTTTTTAATTTTTTTGTTCTAGATGAAGTCCACAAATAAGGGATTTTAAACTCAGTATTTTTTGTGCTTTATGGGGGTTTTTAATGCAAAGGTTACTTATAGGCATAAGAGCAGGTGCGCTAATGCTGCAGTGCTTGTGACAGCTATTAACATTTTAGGCTAATACAACCAGAATATTTTTAACAATAATTATTTTCAGCAGGATTTCAAGGCTCTGTGAATTTTAGTTAGATGCTAAACTCATGAAGTGCTGCCGTCTGAGCTGAGGGTAGAGATGGACTCGTGATTAATTTGAAAATTAAGGAGACGCAAGCACCTGAACTAATCAGGTGGCACTTATTCAGGCTGAGCCTGCATCAGTAATGCTGCCATTTTTCATGTGTCAGTTTCCAAAAATCTGATACTCTGTAGTTATCCAACGGTGTGTATTGAGAACAGGCCAGTAAGCACAAATAGGAGGGCTGGAGAGGAGAGAAAAAGAAAGAAATAATTGCAATAATTTGAGAGATTAAAGAACACTACTTGGCTAAGTGAGCCAAATACAAAATCCGCAATACTATCAAAGGCTTTAATAAAGTCACACTAACCATTATAGATATCTTGTGGTTTTTTATAAGCTGTCTTCTTATTGCAATGTTATAGAAGTGTTAACAAATACTATAGTTGGTAAAAAGACATTGTTTAGTGTGAGTGATTGCTGGCCCCAGCATGTAATCATAATGCAGCATGAAACACTCCATTCAGGCTGTGAGCTGAGGGCTAATTCACTTTTGGTCCCCAATTATGCTAACAAGAAGAAAAAATGTTGTTTGGTTGTAAGAATGTTGTTTTTTAATAAGCTAGTCTTCAAGTACTTTTGTCCCCTCCATCTTCGAGAGGCTGTGGAATTTAGTCATGAAAAACATACAGTGTCTTTATATTAGCGTATGCTGTGTATTGTCGAAATGAAGGTCGAAAGTACTGCTTTAGAGAAACGACAACAAAAACAACTTTATTACACATGCATGTTTTAATTCAGCTACAAAACATGTTTCATTAAGACTGCATTAACAATGTGCTTTTTAGAGCATCACAATGACACAAAAACAACGTGTCTTGAAATGTGAGGAAGTGCAGCGTCCTGATAAGAATCTCAGGTAGACACCTTCAGCATCAATCATTTGTGCTTTCTTGTCAGGGCTTTTCCTTTCACTCAAACTAAAAACAGTGCTCACCTTTTCAGGTGTCTTTGTGTTCAAAGAAGACTTCAGCCGTACGTTTTATCTTTCCTATTATGGGCTGCATTCCCATAGTCCCTCAGGTGTGTCCTACTGGTTGCTGCTGTTTTGCCTTGGTGATCTGCCGGTGATTAAAGCTCTCCATTGTCTTTTGCCTGAGCATAGCATGTGCTTTTTCTCACAAGATGAGAGACTGGGAATGTCTCTTTGATAGAAACTAAAGGAATTCAGCCAGGCAACGGCCGTGTAACAGGGGATCGCTTGTTATTTTGGGAAAGGTTATTGCATAGCAAGGCTTTCGAAGACCAATTTGCAATGAGATTGTCAAAAGCTGGGTCAAGGTTTGAGACTGCAATAATATAATTTAGAGCTATTAAGATTGTTATTATCTGTGACATCAGAGAAACTTCAGCTGTTAGTATAATTTCAGTGTTTAAATTCTCAGGTTTTTTTTAGCTACGCTTTCAGCAGAAAATGTAAAATAATAACAATTCTAAAATGGTTTGGTTTCAAAGTTACAATATTTACCAACTGACACAATATCCTGTTTTTATTCAGGTATTTTTTGTTGTTGTTGTGCACTAGGTGGACCTGTCTCCTGCGCTGATGGCTCGTATTATCCTGGACAGATTCCTTCAGGACGTGGACGGTGAAATGCGTGAGTAACACTTTTCCATTTGGCTCTAAGTGACTCTTCACATCACTTTTAATTGTAGCACTTTGTCCACCAAATCGCCCTCTGTTTGAGTTTAGATTCCAGTCTGTCTGCTGTATTTTCAGCCTGTCGAACCCTAATGACACACAGTCAACATTTCGTAGAAGCTCCATCCCGGGGCACATGATTGGCAATTAAGTCCTGGGAGGACCACCCATCTCTCAGCTGCAGTGTGGATCAATGTTAGCTCAGTTCATCAGTGTTATTTATAACCCCCTTAATTCTTTCCTCACTCTCTTTTATGCAAATGCTTTAATTTATTCCTTATGTTCTTTCGTAGCCGAACCCTTTTTGCTTTCTGTAGACCTACAGGGTCTGCATAGGAAATGGAGTTGAAGAAACTGTGACAGAAAAAGCAAACCGTTCCAAGCTAGTGCTGATGGAGCTCTGCAGGAAAACAGGATTCCAGACACAAATATTTTTGTTGAATGTGTCCAAGATATTTTCCAGGATTTTTCTGAAATGTTGAGCACGTATGCTCTGCTTAGTGTCTGTCTTCTTGCTAGTGATTTCTTGCGTCCACCATTTTTTGGTTCAAAATGTTTTTGTGTATACGTGACATTACATTTGAATCTTACGTCCTTAGTTTTTTATTATAACACCCGTAGCGTTAATATTTCTGTCCTACGGACTGGGTGCATGTGTCTGTACTCTGTACAGAAGCAGATTCAGTGTTTTTAAGAGGGAATTGCATGATGTCAAAAATGATGTGATTCCGATTTAATCAAGAAAGGGATTAAAGTGGATGTGTGTTATTTTCAATTCCTCCACAGCACAGCCATTTGTCAAAGTCGAAGATGTGATTGCTTTGGACCCACCGTTATCCACTGCCTGTCAAAGTACCAGTCTGAACAGTTTGTAGAACAGAGCATTCATCCGGGAGAAATGCTCTGTCTCTCATAATGGCACACCACATCCGTCCATCTCCATATGGTGGAAACATACTTTATTATTGCTCAGAATAGATATTTAGCACATGAAACTTTCTGAGTGATTGATTTTAATTTCAAAAGTATATGGTTACAATCATCAACTTTTTGCATGTATAGCATTTTTTAATATTCTTATTCAGCACATCAGTGAGCAGTGGGGGATACAATGTTGTTCCCAAGGACACAGAAGCACGTTGCAGGGGCTAGGGATGGAACCCCTGACCCTCCTACTGGAAGACAACCAACCTGCCTCTGGGCAACGCTGTCCCCAATATGCACAATTTAACGCTATGGTCATATTTGTGACAAAAACACTGGCCTACACATTTTTTTTCTTCTTGTTGTATTATAAACTCTACTACCAGGACTATATGAGGGTGACCTCTTGACGTAGCTTCTCTGCCATCTCCCCATGACCTTACACAGATTCCTTCCCATGTGGGCTGTGGTCAAATAGTCAAATCTCCCTGTGTGTATATTAAACCCCAGTAATGTGTTTCCACCATGAAACAATGCAAGGATAATTGTCTTTGGTGGCGATTAACTAACAGGCTGGTTCACTGCTATTGGCAGCCATATCTGTCATGCTCCATCCAGCCTCAGACTGCAAACCTGTGCATGTGTGTGTTTGTGTTTTAGTAGAACTCTAAGGCGGTGGGGGGTGGGAGATCAATATACTTCTATATAAGGGACATTACCCCCTACTGGGTGAGTGGCTTGCCTTTGCCTTGCACTGTTGTTTTTATTCCCCATCTCTTTTCTCTTGCATTTAAGGGAAACGGGAATGGGGCCTCTGGGACGATAGAATATATGTACAATCACCAGCCCCGGATCAATAGAAGGTTTTAAATTGTTTTTTTTTTTTTTTGTGTCGTCCTTGTTTTGTTTTGCTCGCTTTGCTGTCCCCCCCACCCCACCCCACCCCACCACCTCCTCCACACACTTCCCACTTCCTACAAGCTGCACATGCCACCACAGCTCAGCATGACGACACCACCAACAATGTGAAACACCCTCCCCTTCCTCTTTGCAGCTCAAGTACTGGAGAGGGCATCAGTCAAGCAGGATGCAGGGCGATCTGGTGGCTCTTGTGCATGAATCGATAAATTCAAAACAGTTTTATCGAATATAATATCAACATCTATAATGTTTTTGGCCTCATGAACAAAAGACTGCACTGGGTAAGACAAACTACATGCACCCATTTGAGTATGTGGTAATGTTTTTCTCAGGGTAGCATTTCATTTTACACAAACATTTATCAGCACAATGTTTTTTTTTTCTAAGAAAATAATTTTAGATTATTGTTAAATTCAAGGTGTTTTTTTTTTTTTTTTAACTCTGAACATGGAATTCAATCATTCAATCTTTAGAATTGAGTTTTGTTTTTGACTTATTATTTTACAGATGATGCATATTTTCTCTTCTAGTCTATATTCTTTATACTATACCATCTTTACTTCATTGTGTGTGTGTGTGTGTGTGT